GTGCGCCAGGTCCTGACTCTGTCTGCACTCTGCCTTGACCTGCCCATGTGGCCCCTTGAGGCATGCTCTGTACTTCCTCCGGGACCCGTAAGTAATAAACTTCCCTGTTTCAGTTTCTCTTGTGGTCTATTGTTGAACCACAGCTCACCATCTGTGCTCAACTTAATAAATGTTCACTTAACAGTCCTGGTGTGGGGATACATGGAACACAACATTCCCAGATAATTGCATTCACAGCAGGAAATAAGCTGGATGGAGTCATCCCGTGACTGACTTCCACTCCTTGAGACCTCACCTCTCCAGACGACCGCCCATTCCCCTTTCCCCACCCCAGGGCTTTCTCCACATCAATCCTCGCCTGCATGTCACTCCCCAACCCCCACCCCTGCACACACACACTAGAGGGTAGCTCCAAGGGGACAGAATGTGCCTGTTATGTTCAGCGATGCGTCCCCAGTGCTTGGCAGGGTCCCAGACAAGTAGTAAGTGCTCAATAAACACAAATAAGGAAGTAGATGTGGACACAGTAGGGGTGTGAAGTTTGGGGCTTTGGGTTCAGATCTCAGTTCTACCGCTTTGCAAACCATGATCTGGTAGCAGTTCCATCACCAACAAGGGAGAACTTAATGCCAACCCCATGGGCCTTTGTGAGCACTGAGCTGTGAGGGACAGGAAGTCAGCCTTGCCCCCAAGTGGGTCCTAAATACATGGTAGCAAGCATGATTCTTACTACCACTACCACTCTGGGCTCATGTGATTGGAAAGGTCCCCCAAATTCACGTGCCCCCGAATACTTCATCTTTGTCCTGGGTGAAAGGCTGCAGGGTAGGCGTACCATGAGGACTACATGGCAAGATGCATGAGAAGACAGGCCCCAGGCATCTGCCTGGTCAGCAACGGCCCCTCCACATCTGCATGCCCGTCAAAGCTCAAGGACAGCAGACCCCAACACAGAGCACATATTCCTTCCCAGCGGAGAAGGTTTGAGTTTATTCTGGAGCAGGCAGCTTCCCCACTAGGGCAGCCATCCAAATCACCCGAAATGCTCAGTAAGCAGAGTCCTGGGCATCATGGCCACCACAGCCTTCCCCAGTTGCAATTCAGAATGTTTAGCCCAGAGTCAAAATCTCTGACCTCCAGAACTAACTGTACAAGCTCAAGAGGAAACCAAAACGTATTGGGTCTGTACTCTGTAAAGACCTGCTTTGGAGTCCTGTGACCAAGCATGAGAAAGGTCCCTAACCCTGGATTTGGGGTGTACAAAGGACTATCATACACACACTAATGCACACACCCACACCTCTGGCCAACTGTCTCCACGCAGCATGAAGACCCAGTGTTGCAGAACTTCCAAGAAAAGCCAGAAATCCATGCTTTTATGTGATATGTTCCAACTTAAAATTCTGGCTCGAGATCATGAAAAGGAGACAAACGTTATTGATATGGGACTCCAAAACCTTAATTCCCCCTTTAAAAAAAATTTTTTTTGCCAGCTTTGAGGTAAAATTGACAAACTGTAAGATATTTGAAGTGTGCATCTTAATTTGATACACGTGTACACTGTCAAAGTTCCCACCCCCTAATTAACACCCCCCTCAACTCTCACAGTTACCTTTGCTTTGTTTGGGGGGTTGTTTTGTTTTGTGTTTGGTGAGAACTTAATTCTCTCAAATCGATGCTAAAGAGAGGATTGGAAACTGAAGCCCCTAAACCCAAATCGGCCACCGGTATGTTTGGATTGGTTCACACTGGGCTTTAATTCTTTTTTAATTAGTTGCTAACATTAAAAAAAATGGGGGGTTTCCCATTTTTAAAAATCCCAATTCTGATCTCTCCTGGAAAATCAGGCGAGGCAATGCCGCGTCCACATTCTGCAGGGCTCGTGCTGGCTGGGGGATCATCTTCCCAGGGCCCTCACTCATTTCCGTCCCCTGCCTGGACCCCACAAGAATCTAAGCTTGCAGCTTGCAGGTGAACTTTTCAGGAGACCAGGCACCACCGAGACCTGAAGCCAAGACATCAAGCACGTGGTAGAAGAGCCAGGAAAGGCAGAGTTGGCTGCAGGAAAGAAAGGGGGAATGCTCACTCCATGAGAGGAAAAAGCTAAGGGCTGCAGGACTTCAATTTCATTCAGTGGTTCTCAACGAGGGGCGACTCTGCCCCACACCCGGGGGACATCTGGCAATGTCTGGAGACGTGCTGGACTGACACAGGTGGAGGGTGCTACTGGCATTGATTGGGTGGGATGCCGCTCAACACCCTACCGGGGACAGCACCCACCACAGAGTGACACAGCCCCAAATATCAATAGTGCTGATGCTGAGAGGGCCTGATCTATTTTGTGCAGCGCATTAGTTCTCCATATGGGCATACATGGTCTCTTGGGATGAAGAAACACTGAACCGGCGTCTTGGACAGCAGGGCTGAGAAGGGTGCCCGACGCACAGTAAGTGAACCCAGGAAATGATTATCCTGTGTCGTTGTTAACATTGTGGGTAAATGTATTTAGCCTCACTCCAGTGAGTCAGTGACTCGTCTTCTTGGAAAGCATCGGGACAACAATAATGGTAATATTAATATTAATGGTACACAGTCCTGTTAGCTCACTGAGTTCTGCGTTAAGTGAAGTAAGCTGAGGCTCGGAGAGGCACGGACAGATGCCCCAGGTATCCCTTCAAGTGGGACAGGCAAGCTCTTTGCAGAGGAACCCGAGGGTCAGAGTTCACTTGCCCAGGGTCACAAGTCCTAGGGGTCAGCTCCTCCCGACCTCCTGGGGTAGGGAGCAGAGGCAGGCCTGACAGCGTAAGGCCCAGCTGCTTCCTTCCACCCGCCACCACTCATGTTCCCACAACTCCTCACCCTCCCGCCCCCACCTCCCAAGGGGTCCAAGGTCAGCGCTTCACAGAGAGGACCCAAGGGCATGAGGCCATGTTTTCTCAGGGCTCTGCTTATGCGTGCCCTCTCTGGACAAACAAGAGCTTCACCCCCCACCCCCAGCCCTTTACAGCGATCTGAGATTTCAAACCAAATTGAACACATTAACCAATTTCCAAGCAAGGAAATGCCACTTGAGACCATGCTTTTCTGACCTACGATCACAACCAGAGAGAGTCTAAAAGATCCTCCCGGGAGTCAGGCTCCCACCCCCCAGGTGGCCACCTGTTTCTTTGGTTTTGAGCCCCTCATCCACCGGATGAGGACCTGAGGCCCGGGGGGTGGGGTGGGGGGAGTGGGGAACATGACCTGCCCAAGGACAGGGAAGCACCAGGTGCCAGATTCCAGGCTCACGCTGGAAATCTCGCTTCCTCCTTCAACTCCCTGACGCCAGCAAACTCCTCTTTCCCCAAAGGTAAAAGGGACATCAGGCTGAAAACACCCCTTGGTGGGGCCCTTTCTCCCCCAGGACAGCCCACTGCAGCCTCCCACAAATCCAGGGACATGGGCACCCAGACTCTGGCTATAGGTCCCAGGAAACTGGAATCAGCATCGGGGTGGGGGTCGGGGGAGGCCTATCCTGATGAACGACCTACTAGCCAGCCTCACCTCACAGGACCCCCACAATGACTCTATAGGACCGTGTCTGTCAGGCACAGAACACAGTGCCTGGGACATAGAAGTGCCCCCAAACTGTCAATAAGCCATCAATATCCTTGTCTTCATCCCACGAGCTCCTCAGCTGGCTCCTCCACTTAGACCCACCAAAGTCCCTCTTTCTCCTCCATGGTGTAGCTCCCCACTGGAAAATAGTAGCCTGACCAGGGACATTTCCAGCCTCCTCTGCAGTGAGATGTGACCCTGTGACTGCCCCCCCGCCGCTACACACACACACGCACACACACACACACACTTAATGAGATGTGAGCAGGGGAAAGACGGGTCACCTCCAGGTCAAGTTTTCCAAGAAGCTAGATGCAGGAAGGGGCTTCAGGTGCTGGGGGAGGAAGCCACCGCCGGCAGCACGGGCAGGTCGTTTGCTGTCACTGTCCCACAAGTGAGGAACGGCCTTGCGTTAACCCACTGAGACTGTGGGATTCCTTCTCTAAGCTGCAAGAAGCACGCCCTGCTCTGAACCAGCCCTAGCTCCTCACAAGCTCAGGAATATTCCAAGTCCGGTGACCTTCTGTCTGGAAAGCCCACGGCCCACTGCAGGTGGCTAGGTCGGGTCACTCTTCAGGAGGACAGCCCAGTCTACACCCAGGCCTGGGAGGGTACCAACTCAGCAGCAGCTCTCCACGGCCCAGCCCTCGCCCGGTGTCCCCTCGGGGACTGCGGGGTGGGGAGCCCTCAAGCCATGCTCTTGCCCTTCTCCCTCCCAACTCAAGAACCACGCAGAGCAGGGACAATCAGATAGTGCGATTTATTGCCCCCGCACCCCTCCTTCAGCCGCGTCCAGGCCACGGAATAGACGGGACCCCACCTCTGCAGGGTCTGCTGGGAACAGGGGCTAGTCCTGCTCCAGCACTCCTCCACGACCCCAAACCCAGGATGGGGAGGGAGGACGAGGGCCAAGAAAAAGAACAGGACCCGCAGGGAAGTAGACACAAAATAATGGAAGGGTGGAGTCAGGAGGCGGGTGGGATCAAAAGAAAACTCTAAGGGGAAAAGGACCCTCTCCCTTCGCTCCGTGCGGCCCTTGTGAAGCGGAAGGGCGGGGCCTTCCGGGCGGCAAGAGAAAGAGGGACCAGGGACCGCCCTTTTGGTCGTGGGCCCCGTCCTCCCTCGGTCTCCAGTTCCCACGCACGGTCTCTCCCGGGCTCGCCGAGAACCAGAAGGGCAGGCCAGGCTGGGGCAGGCTGCAGGGCGCAGGGCGGGGGCTGGAGGGCCCTAGCGCCCCGGGCCGGCCGTCCCCACAGCGCGGACCACCGGGCGGGGCAGGGGAGGGAGACGAGGCGTCCGCCGCCCTTGCCGCCCCTCTGTCCGTCTCTCTCCGGTCTCCGGGTCCTGCGCCATCGTCCCCGCCAAGCCCGAGGGGCCCTGCCCCCCCCCCCGGGCCTCCGCCCCTACCGGCCCTCCCCGCCGCGGCACTCGCTGCAGCGCCCGCCAGCCGCCTCGTCGTGGTCGTCCTCGCCGTCCTCCCCGCCCGCCCGGTAGTAGCTCTGTCCGCAGCGGCTGCAGACCGACGGCGCGCCCACGGCGTGCACCTTCTTGTGTCTCCGCAGCGCGGCGCCCTGCACGAAGCCCTCGCCGCACTCCACGCAGATATGCGCCGGCTCTTCGCCCCCCGCCGCCCCGAGCCCGTCCCCGTGCTGGGCACGCTGGTGGGCCAGGAGCCCCGCCCCGTGCCCGAAGCCCTTCCCGCACTCCACGCACACGTACGGCTTGGGGGCCGGGGCGCGCCGCGAGCGGGGCCCCGGCGCCTTGGCCCCCGCGCCCGCCATGGCTGCGGCCGCCGCGGCCCCCTCGCCCGGCGCGCCCACCACGATGATGCCCTCGCCATCGCCCACCGGGATGGCGATCTCGCCGTCCGCCGCCGCCGCCTCCTCGGGCGCCTTGGCCCGGCGCACACTGGCCGCCAGCACCTTGGCCGCCACGCCGGGGCCCGACAGCTCGGGGTGCAGCCGCAGGTGGCGCGCCAGGCTCTTGGGCTGGCTGAAACCGCGGCCGCAGCGCGGGCACACGAAGGGCTTGAGGCCGCTGTGCGAGCGCCGGTGCTTGGCCAGACTCTTGCTCTGCGTGAAGCTGCGGCCGCAGTCGGGGCAGGCGTAGGGCTTCTCGCCCGTGTGGATGCGCTGGTGCTGCATGAGGTTGGAGCTCCAGCTAAAGCGCTTGCCGCACTCGGAGCAGGCGTAGGGCTTCTCGCCCGTGTGGATGCGCCGGTGCTGCACCAGGTGCGAGCTCTGCGAGAAGGTCTTGCCGCAGTCGGCGCAGGCGTTGGGCCGCTCGCCCGTGTGCGTGCGCTGGTGCCGCGTCAGCTTGGACCAGTGGCTGAAGCTCTTGCCGCACTCGTTACAGATGTAGGGCGCCGGTGGCCGCGGCCGGGGCGGGGGGCCGGCCGAGGGCGCTGACTGGGGCGGGGACAGCTTGGTCGGGGGCCAGCTGGGGACGTCGTCGTCATCCATGATGAGGATGTCCACTAGAAGGCAAGAAGGTGGGAGGGGAGGAGAGTCAGAGAAGCCCTGGCTCGACAGAGGGCCGGTCCAGGACCGAGGGCCGGGAGCTTCGACGGGGCTCTGCCACCTGCCACAGGGCACGCGCAAAGCCTCACCTGCGCGCCTTCTCAGGATGCCCTGTGGCCCCGGAGGGCAGCTAGGCCGGGTCGGTGCGAAGCCCTCTGCACGATCCTGGCCCTCCGCAGATGCCCGTCTCTCCACCTCCTTACCCGCCGTATTTTCCTCAGAGCTCACTCCCTGACACTGTACTGAACGTTCATGTGGTTATTCATTACCCACCCTCAAGACTTTTCTTTCCCAGCCGCTTCCCCCACACCTGGGACAATGCCTGGAACGTAGCAGGGACTCCAGAAATATCTGGGAAATAAACAGCATCCACATAAACGAACATGGATGGAAGTCTAGGAAATGATACTTGAAGCCCAAAGCACCAGGCAGGGGCGGGGAGGGTCCAGGGAGAGGGGCTCACACCCTGGCCCAGGAACAAAGGCAAGCCCAGGAGTGACGGCATCGCACCTGGCTTCCAGGAAGACTATCCCGGTGCAGGTGAAGAAGAGGGAGGAGGAGTAGGGCTGCTTAAGGGGATCACAGGCCAGCATGGGATCCCGCCTGCCCCGGTACCTGGGAGTGCGACCCCCGCATACCGGAGCCTCTGTGACAGACGTCCTTAACCCTATCCCTGCTGCCCCATGCAGACGACAGAGGAGCATGGAGCCCTGGTTTTGCCCGCTGTGAAGTGAGGACTCGAAGCCTGTCAAACGTCTGCACCACACACCTGGCCCTGAGCCATCTCCCAGGGAAAGTGAGCGTTGGCCTCCCCCAGGCAACCTGCCCAGCTCAGAGACTGACCTGTGAGCACCTGCAACAAGGCTCTTGCTCCCCAGTCCAGCGGAGCCTGGGCCTCAGCCGGGACTCCTCCACGGTGCCCACCAGCCAGCATGGCCCTCCACAGTGTGCCTGAAGCTTCCCTTCCAAGCATGCATTGGGAACACTGCTTCCCCGCTCCCTCCCTCCCTCACCAGGGCACAGGCCAGGCCCAAAGCACTCACACACTGACCCAGGGTAGCTCACAAACATGCAAAGAGGCGTTAGGATGCACCAAGGTGGGCGCCGCGCATTCAACAAGCCTCAATGCGTCTACATCCTGTAAGGGAGGCGCTATGGAACTCGGGTCTTTAGAGCACAGAACCCCAGCACCAGAAGATGAATCATTGTACTGAATGGTACAACGTTCCAGGTTGTTCTTCCAGTACAACCTGGAAGAGCCTTGCTCCAGTCCCCCTGGCTTCTGCCCGCTTGCTGCATGAGGTTCAGGGGGTGCCTCGGAGAGCAGCCAGGCCTGAAGGCAAGACCCCGCTCCTGCTCCAGAGGCACATGGTGGCCTCGGCGCCTTTCTGTGGCACTCACGACCTCTTCACCGAGGAGCGCGGCCCGGAGCTGCTCCGTGGCACTGGCAGCTGGAAGGCTTCCCACACACGCTCCCTGTCACCACGGTCAGCTGCATGTAGCTGTGGCAGGGTCCACGCTCGCTTCGCCAGATTAACTGGTTCTCGATCATCCTCTAGTCTTTTTTTTTTTTTTTTTTAAGTCTCCCCTTTCTGAACATCGCTACGAACTCCTGAATTTACACGTATTTGGTGGGTCTCCATCCACTGCCATCCCACCTGCCGCCGCTCTAAGGAGGCGCCCCGACCCTGGCGGGCCCTGGCAACTTCCCTGCTCCCCAGCCTCATGAGACGCCAGGCACATCTACATGTCCTGCCCAGACGTGCAATCGCTGTTTCTCCAGGTGGCCCTGGTTTTCTTCTGGTGGAAAGTACTTCAAGACCCAAATCTGGAAACGGTCACTGCTTTTTTTTTCCTTACAGTAAAATTCTGCTGAGTTCACACCGACACTTCTTCCCAGACAAATCTGGACCTACAGGTTTTTCTTGAGTCTTTTCTTTGGGACGTCTGCATCTCTTCTTCAAAAGGGAGAAGAGAATTTGAATAGCCCGTCATTATTCGTTTGCTGACCCCACCGTTGCGGTGCTGAGATAACCACGCTGATCCACCACTGCCGATTACAACCTCTGAAAGCACAAAGCATGGCCTTGTGCACGCCACTCCTGTCCTACCCAACCTCCTGTGGCCCTGCTCACTGCCCGTCTCTCTCCAGCCAGCGGCTGTCCAAAGCTCGCCTGCTAACAGATCCCCCGGAAGGGCCCAGAACGCTGTGGACCGAGCTCCTCCTCTGCCCTTCCAATCTGTAGGTCAGTTTTAAGGAGACCCTTGGCTCACCTTTTCTTTCCCTGGGAACCATAAATATGGCCCTACTGTCTTCTGGCCTAAAGCACTGCCCCTAGGTGCCCCAAAGATTTGCTTCTTCCGGTGACCTCTGAGGAGATATTCTCAGATTTGTGACTTGCTCTTTCCAGACCTAATTTTGACAATTCAGGAAGGTCTTCTTGGCTTGTTTATTCTCTTCCTTTCCTTTGGATTTCTGCAAAGACTTCCCCAGGCATGCACTGGGATTCTGACTTCATTTTTTTTTTTTTATACTTCGTTTTAACCTTCATTTCTTTTTAATTTTATTTATTTTTTTTCTTAAAGATTTTATTTATTTATTTGAGAGAGAGAGAGCACATGAGAGGGGGGAGGGTCAGAGGGAGAAGCAGACTCCCCGCCGAGCAGGGAGCCCGATGCGGGACTCGATCCCGAGACTCCAGGATCATGACCTGAGCCGAAAGCAGCCGCTTAACCGACTGAGCCACCCAGGCGCCCCTCTTTTTAATTTTAAACATCCCTCCTTTTTACCTCCAACTTTTCTCAGGGAATGTGTTCTTTTTATTCCCTCTTGGGTTTTCTCCTTCAGTTTTCATTTTGAAACGACTTTGCTCATATTTTCTGCTGAGTCCTGCATCCTCACTTCTGAGCTGTTCTGATTTCGTGCTTCTTCCACGGGCTGTCACCTCTCCAACCAGGCGGTGTATCTCCAACTGGCCTCACGATCCGGGGAGATATTACCTGCCCATTTTCTCTTTTATTCTAACAGTTTTGGGGTGGAGGGGCACTAGTGTTATGCTCAGTTTGTTCCTGTTGCTTTTGTGCGGAAGAGTTCCCCAACTTTGGGGGGGTCAAAGTCCCCAATTCCCAGGAGGCAAGGTCCCCCGACTCCCAGGGGGCGAGGTTCTCCGAGCTCCCTCCTCTGATGTTCTCGTACCATAGCTGAGTGTGTGACACTGTCCCAGGCTCCTGGCTCCACAGCCTCCCTGTTTTTATCTGTACCTCCTCCTTCCTTCCTCCCTGTGGTCAAGGACAGGGGTTCCACTCAGTTTTGAGTTCCCTTCCGGAAGGCTTTGCTCTGAGTGGGTCCTGCCGTGGGAAGAACGCTCTCCCTTGTTGGCATCAGAGCCCACGCGTGGACCCCCAGGCCGCTCCAGCCCGACCTTCCTGTGGCCCCGAGCTCCCTGCTCCCAGTCTGGACAGAACACATCCAATCTCAGCTGCCGGTCTCAGTGGGACCACCCCCCAAGCTTTCCAGTGAACGCCTGAGGGCTATTTGGGCCTCCTACTTCCTTCCTTCCCTCCAGCACAATGCCAACACCACACAGGCTCGTGACCACTGGTTTGTCCCCATCCAACTGCATTCTGGGGTCACGGGGGCACCTTCACACCTAAGGAGTATTGTCATCAGTGTGGCCCAAGGGATCTGGGTTCTGCCACATGGTTTTTCTGTGGGGGTCTGGGGAGGCTTAAGGGCTGCCATCATTCTGGGCTGGACGCATTTTAGGTGAGCCCTCTGGAACGACTCAGAAGCGCACTTCAACATGAGAGCCAAAGCTCGGCTGAGGGAGGTCAGAACCCCGTCCCCCAATGGGTGCCTTCCAGGACACCAGCTCACTTCTTTCCTGTTGGGAGTGCTCCCTTCTCAGAATCACAATGTCATCTTTATTTATGTATTCCTTTTTTGGATTACTTTCCATTCTGAATACCCTGTAGCTAAAGCCCCAGGACAGGCCTGGATGGCTCTCCCACCCCACCACCGCCTGACTCCAGGCCTCTGACCAGCTGCAGCCTGGATGGCCAGGCTGAGGCCATCAGGAGCCCCAGGCAGCAGGTCGGAAGGGCTGCCCTCCCCCGAGGACAGCACAGCAGACCCTGGCTGTCCCCCCACGGCTGTCCCCCCAGAGCTGTCCCCCCCTAGTTGTCCCCCCACAGGCTGTCCCCCCTGGTTGTCGCCCAATGGCTGTCCCCCCCACAGCTGTCCCCCCCACAGGCTGTTCCGCCTCCCCCCCCCCCAGCTGCCTCAGCCTGGGTGGATGGCCTGGCCTCTCTGCTCCAGCACTCTGGCCGGCAACCCAACCTCGCAGGATGACCCAGCGGCTGGAGGGGGCGCAGGACCGACAGGAAGTGCTTCTAAAGCACCAGCCACTGTGAACAACGGCACCCACTCAGTCTGCACACCATTCCCAAAAATACCCAAATCCAGGGAGGAAAATGAGAAAATTCCTGAGGTTTCACAATAGCCCTGGGCAGGTCCATGTCATGGAAAGGAAATGCGACCCCTTGGCTCTTTTCAGTCTCATGTGCACGGAGCTGCCGGAGAAGCACCACCCAGGTGACCGGCTGTCTGCCCTCCGCCCCAGCGAGCTTCCACCTGGGTCACAGCCCGGCAGCAGGGGTCAGCTCAGTGAGGAGCAGGCCAGAGGTGATCCACACGAATACGGCGGGAGGAGAAGTGAACACAGCGCCGGTGCTGCCAACAGGGAGGACTGAGACTTTCGCTTCCATGGCACACGAACACACATGGGGCTGGGCTGAGGGCGTGTGCAGAACGACTCAGGCCTTGACGATGGTCAGAAGACATGCCGTGGGTCCCCCTCTGCCTCCTTGTCATGGAGTGGAGTCACCCGAGGCAGGAAGACACAGGGCGGGGAGGCTCCAACTTGTGGGGACAGAGAGAGCTGGAAAGTCCTTCAGACAACATCCCGGCTGGAGCCCGCCATGCCCACCTCCTCATCTGCACCTGAGGCCCCACCACCCAACCCGTGGTCTCCCAGGGGCCCTGAGGCAAAGCCTTCCCTAGGGTAGGAGACTCGGGCCCACAATCGCCCATGGCTCCTGAGGGGCTGGCTGCCTCCAGGCAAAGACAAGGTACCCCGGGGTCTCGGGGCTCCTTCCCCCACAGCAGCTCCAGAAAGCTTTCCAAAGCACTCCTGAGCCCCCAAGGAACGCCTTTCTCCCTGGGGTGACATTGCTGGGGCTGCCCACGGTCAGTCCCCTCCTCCTCACCAGAAAATCCCAAGCACAGGGCTGAGCTGGGATAAGGCAGCCATGGTGACCCTGAAGCCACCTCCTAGGTCACGCGTCCCCGATCAGGATGCACTCGGGGTTGCCACGAAGAGAGGCCCCAGGAGCCAGTTCTGCTTCTGCCCCGCCCCCTGCCCTGTCCTGCATCTTCAGCAGGTGCCCCGGAGGACGTGAGGGCCAGAGCTGAGGTACCACCTCAGGCGTGTGGCCAGGACAGCACACACAAAGCCGCCCAGAGCCAGGATGACGGCGGCTCGTGGAGAAATGGCTGAATTAACCCACCCTGGAAGTACCCTGTGTGCAGCCTGGTGTCCCAGATGGCTACACACTGTTCCAGTTAAAGCCACGACCGGGAGGGCTCTAACTAGTCCCACCTCGCTGCCGCATCCCCTGCCTCAAGCCGTCTGTGGGGCCTCCAATCCACAGCCAGCCGCGGTCTTCTCCAGCCAGCGGCCCGCACCTCCCGCAGTGGGCAGCCCCTTCCTTGGCGAAGCCTCCCTGCCCCCGACAAGATGGGCCCTCTGGTGAGGCGGTCTCCACGGCAGTCCCCTCTGTAACCACCACCAGTCTGTGGGCCCCGTGGAGACAGGGACCTCGGCCTCAGGCACACTGTCACCAGCCCCTCACCCGCAGGATAGGCACATGGGCAGAGCTTGCCTCCGTGCCACGGATGGCGTGCAGCTGACTCCAGGCAAGGTGAGCAGTGCAGGGCACGGGTATCACTCCCGGCAAGCCAGGACCGCACGTCCATCTCAAGAAGCTCATGCTGGGGGCTGTGGACAGGGATGGATGCAGGGACTAGGTGGAGGTCAGTGCAGGGTGGCAATCCCAGCACCAGGCGGGCTCCATGGCCACATCCAGAACGTACTTTGTGAGTGGACACTCAATGGTCCAGAAATCAGATTGGGGGGGACCCCGGGGAGCCCCCAGGGTCAGCTGGGCCATGAGGCTGCGACTCAGGGCTCTAACAGCACTTTCCACCTGCCATCTTCAGACCCTGGGCCAGGGGGATGAGCCCACCCCGCCTGCCTTCTCCCAGCTTCCGCCCCGCTCTCAAGGGGGCCAGCACAGACACCAGCCCCTGCCCTGCAGGCCAGAGCTACCATGGGCGTCGGGCTGGTGTCTCAGGGCAGGAGTCTGGCACGGTCACCCCACAGGAGGCCCCACACCCAGGCGGGCAGCACCTCCCGGGGCAGGCCCAGAACCATGGGATGCACGGCCACTTAGAAGCATTCAGGCACAAGGCCCGTGAGCTGAGCGAAGCGGGGGGTCAAAATGGCGTGGCCCCCAGCAGGGGGTGGCTGGAGCAGGGACGTGCAACAGATTCCCTCGGGGGAGAACAGGCTCAGGACGGCAGGCTGGACGAGGGGGGGCGTGAGAACCCACCTGTACATCGTCCAAGGTTTGTAAGGAGGACAAGTTAACGGAGGACTCGTAGGATTACACCTGACTTACTCCAAGGCAGATGTACGTTTGGGAGAAAACGGGGGTTGTTAACTCAGACTGGGTGTTTTGTTGGGTGAGGTAAGTGTTTTGTAGCTGTGGTTCCGTTTTTGCTCTTAAAGAGCCCGCATCTGTTGGAGGACCTACGGGTGCAAAGACAGAACATCTGGGGTGTTCTTTAAACTCTCCGGAGGGGGAAGGGCGCGAGAACGGAGAAATAAGACTGGCAGGGGGTCTCTAACCCTGAAGCCGAGTGCAGGCAAAGTCATGACGTGACTGAGCTCGGCCGTTCCCATGATACGCAGACTTTTAAATTAATTCTAAAAGGGCTAGAAGGCCAAGGACGTGCACCGGGGGGAGGCGGGGCAAGCAGGCCCAGAGGGGCACAGCGGGGAAGGACGGGCATGGTCCTCCCCCCGGAGGGCAGCCGGGTCAGAGTGAGCTCGGACCCCCCACGACTCAGTGTCCTCCTTGGTAACCGAGGCCATCCCGGCCTGCCTGCAGGGAGCTTCTCTTCACTCTCCTCTGGGTGATCTTACGTTAACGCGTAGGGGAGGCCAAGAGACTTTAAAAACCCTCCCCCCACCCATGGGGCAGGTCCTCGTGGCCCTCCTCGAGGATGACCGCGGGATGCCGGCCCCCGGGCCGGGACCCAGCACCCGTTCTGTATGTGAAGTTTTACCGGCCTGTGGCCACACCCACTCACTTCCACACTGGCTGGCCGCCTTCCCGCTGCAACGGCACAGGGTCTGCAAAGCCAAAAATATCTCCCCTCTGGCCTCTACAGTAAAAAACACATTTGCTGACTCCACACCGGCATAACACCCGGCACGAAAACACACCAACAGCAGCATGAAAGCCAAGTCCATGCTTTATTTCTCGGGTGCCCTACAGGAAAACCCCTGGAAAGGAGTGTCTCGGCAAGCAAACCCCAGGCCCCGTGTGCTCAAAGGTGAGTTTTATTCAACCCAAATAATACTTTATTAAACACAACAGGGTACCAATAGTGAAAAGTGGAAGATTTCCCCTAAGAACCCAGATTCTCAGCTTTCCCCCCCCACAACTGACACACATCACACCCTCCTCTGTGGTCCTGTCACCCCGGCCCCATGAAGCCCACCCCGTCTACAGCTTCTCGCTTGAGACACCTGCGGACCACCCAGGAACAGGGCAGGGGGCCAGGACGCTGGGGAGCGAGGGGGCTGGGCTGTGAGGGTGGAGAGGGCGGGCAGACGGAGTGAAGTGGCCCCAAAGGGCACCCATGACCCTCTGGAGGAAGGAGGCATCACTCCTGAGCCACGGGAGCAGGGGAGAAAGAAGCCGGGGTCCAGGAGGGCTACGGGACCAGCTGAGACCTGCCCGAGGCCACCTCACCTGGGTTCTCGTGACTGGCCATCTGCTGGTCCTCGGAATCCAGCGGCCCCGGAGACCAGGCCTCTTCCCGCAGCTCCATGTCTGGGTCCCTGTGAGAAGGGGAGGAGATGGAAGGACAGAGTTTACAAGACGCCAGACTAGACGGAGGGCCCCAGGACGGCAGGCACCACGTCGGCTCCAACCCATGCTTCAGCTCCGAGCGCCCAGCTCGGCCCTGGCAGGCCGAAGGCGCACGCAGCAGGTCCCTGGGGGGCAACAGAGAAACGGCCTGCACCTCCACGTGCATGGGACACCAGCCCAAGGCCACGCACCACCTGGGGAAGGACGACGCACCGGGACTACAGCGACCCGGCCAGGCTCCTGTCCCAGCTCCACCACTCGCCAGCTGGAGCCCAGGGGGACACTCCATCCCCCTGCCTCAGCCTCCCCCGCCGCCGCCCGGCGCCCAGATTGCCACCAACACCGCAGACACGTCCGATGTGCCGTGAGGTTGAAACAAGACGAAGCACAGAGGCAGCTCTAGCGCCAGAGCCCACCCCCGACGGAACAGTGAAGCCAACTGACACGGGAACACAAGCCCTCTAAGGGGTTCACGCATTCAGGTCTCCGAGCAGCACCCCACATTGGGGTCCGGGGGAAAGGAGCCGACCCTCCGGGGTATCTGCACCCAGAGAGGCAGCCAGACAACCCCGGCTTCTGGGGAGGGAGGGGCAGGCGGAGTACTTTCTGCGGCCTCTGTCCCTATAGATTTGCCCGATCTGGAGGCTTCAGGAAATGGAACGCTATGTCACTGGGTGTTTTGTGTGTCTTCTCTCACTCAGTGTAATGTTTTCAGGGCTCGTCCACACCGTACCACGTGTCCGAATTTCCTTCCTTTTCACGGCTGTACAACACTTCACTGTATGGATGGACCACATTCTGTGTGTCGGTTCACCCGCCGACGCAGATGGGCGTCTAGGCTGTTTCCACCTCGGGGCTGAGGAGTAAAGCCGCTATGAACGTCTTGGGTGCACGTACCGCGTGGACATGTTTTCATCTCTCCACTGCCCGTGCCACCCCATGCAACGGGCCGTGCTGGGGAGAAATCTCTCACCTCACCGGCCTCAAGGGTCAGGTTCCCACCCACTCACCAGCATCCTGGGAACAATGCCATTTGGCAGGGCCTGGCTCTTGGGGCAGACAGCCCAGGCCTCCCCCTACTGCCCCTTCGGGCCTCCACGCTACCCTGAGGCGAGGAGCTGGGCAGGGATCTCCCCCATGTTTGGAGTTGGCAGGCAGCATAGGGAGACTAGGCAGGCACCCGGCCCCAGGTGGGTTCGTCAGTTCTGCGCTGCACCAGAGCCTGGCACTGGGGGGACCCTTGCTGTGGCATCACTCCCTGGCAGGAAGCCTGCAGGTGGGCAGGACTCCTGGTAAGCAGCTACGCAGCATCCCACACACAACTGACTGAGACCTGGTCCCTGAAGCTGAGTGCACGCAGCTCTGAGCAAACCTCCAGAGTCCTGCATCCCCCCTCCTGAGCACCTGCAGACGAGCACCTGCCAATGGCAAGCATCTGCCCGTGGCACAATATGCCAGACCCATTTCTCTTGAATCCCCCACTGACAGGGAGCTCACCACCATCCAGGCACCCATTCCACTGCTGGAGGAGCGTGAGCCTGCCCCTCAGTAACCTCCACTGACCTCTGAGAGGAACTCCGAGAACCTGCCTGTAATAAACACTCGCAGACACAGTGAGCCATTCCCTCTGCCAACACATTTCCCAGGTCCAGGCACTGCTCTACGCAGTTAAGATGCCGTTAACGCATTCAGTTGCACCACAGCCCTCTGAGGGGACAACACTGTCGCCCGTCACGCAGATGAAGAAACTGAGCCATTAAGTGGCCGAGATCTGCAGGCAGATGGCACGCAGAGAACTGCGAACACGGGTCATGCAGGCCGGGTCCTTGGGACCAGGAGACGTGGCAGTGACCAGGGCAAATGCTCACTCAAGCAGCAGCGTCCCGCGTTGCCTCCCACGAGCCAAACCTGGGTGCCGGGGTCCCATTATCCGGCCACCGGCCCCGGCTCTGCATACCCTGCACTGACGTGCCGTGAACGACCACCATCCCCACGTCACAGCAAAGGACATGAGGTCGCAGTGAGGTCAAGGACAGGGACAGGATGCCAACGGTGTCGCTGCCGAGTCCTTGGTCCAACTGCTCTGCCATCCTGACACCCAGCCAACCGTCAACAAGGACCTAGAAGAGCATGGGGCACAACCAAACAAAGCCAGGCCCGTCTGGGGGACCAGGAGGCCACACCGGGGGACACCGAACAGGGGATGGACGGGAGGCGAGGGCCTGGCAGGAAGACTGCAAGTGGCCCCTGGTTGGAGCCTGCAGCCAAGGCCCAGGCCTCCTCACGGCAGTCCCTGCCACTGACCACGACAGGGAGCTACCACGGGGTCGGGCCAGGTCGGCAGGACACACACAGGGCTGCCCTGTGCAGGTTTTCGCTCCCATGCATCATCACGGCCCCCACCGTGACACAGGAGCACCTGCCCGGCCTGTCACAGGCTCCCCTCCACACAGGGCCCTTATCCGACTGGCTCTTCACGTCGGCCTGATGAAAAGACAAGGCAGGAGTGCCAGCAGCCCCGCAGGTGCTGCCGTATGCAAGATGGCACGGTCCTTTCCTCCCCACTGGTCCCCATCACCCCCACCCCACAGGCACGGGGGTCTCCCCAAGGGCCAGGCGTTGCTCGACACTGGGGAATGTGGTGTGGTCTCCCCACCGGTCCCCATCACCCCCACCCCACAGGCACGGGAGTCTCCCCAAGGGCCAGGCATTGCTCGACACTGGGGAATGTGGTGTGGTCTCCCCACCGGTCCCCATCACCCCCACCCCACAGGCACGGGGGTCTCCCCAAGACACTGGGGAATGTGGTGTGGTCTCCCCACCGGTCCCCATCACCCCCACCCCACAGGCACGGGGGTCTCCCCAAGGGCCAGGCGTTGCTCGACAATGGGGAATGTGGTGTGGTGAACAGGCCACAGCCCCAGCCGCGTGAGAGAGCCCTGCCAGTGATGAACAAGCATCTGAACGAAAAAGGCCATTTCAGACGACGAAGTTCAAGGAAGATATGCACGGAGGGGAGGGAAGGAGGGGGGGTGGGGAGGGCAGCTGCACCAGGAGGTCAGTGGAGGAGGATCTCCCAGAGGGAAGAGCCACAGGAGCAGGTCTGCACGGGAAGCGTGGAGGAGGGGGAGGGATGCAGGGACAGCAGGTGCAAAGGCCCTGCAGGCCCTGCGGAGAGGCTAGAGATGCAGGGGTGGGAGGGTACTCTCGCAGGGCTTCGAAGGCCAGACAGAGGACTGAGGAGTTGTGTGAAATGTGGTGATCCCTCTGAGGTGGGCGCCATTGCGACGCGTGTTTTACAGACGAGGACACTGGGGCTCACAGATGTAGGTGGGGCCGGTCCTGGAGCTCGCCTGCAGCAACAGCAAGGAGCATCTGGACGGCAGCAGCGATGGTGGGCAGCCAGGATGCGCTGGCACAGTGCCAGACTCGGGGCCACAGGGACTCCCAGGATCTGGGAGGGTGCAGTCTTCCTCCCCGTCTACCCGAGGCATCACCCCCTCAGAGGCCTCCCAGCCCCTGATCTGCCCTACCCTGGGCCCCACTGGGTGCCCAGCACCCACACCGGCGCCAGGCGCCCTCAGGGGCTGAGAACAGGCACATGACGCACCCATGAAGGGGTCGGAACAGAATGGAGGCTCAAGAGACAAATGCAATGCAACTCTGTCCCCCTTGGCCGGCCCACCCTCTGGGACCCCACAGGAAGCCCAGCAAGCCCCCAGCTGAGAGCTGGTGCCACACATAGTTCGGGTGGAGCCTGACAGTCCGGGCTACACCGGCACAATCCGGCCACACAGCTGCGGAGCCGCAAACAGGCGCTGGGAGCCCCTGGCCAGGCAACCAACCCCCTTCTCCAGAAGCTAATCTGAGGGGAAACCCAAACCTCAGAAAATGCTTCCTGCAGGGAAAAATAAGTTCATCACAGCCAGATTTAGAACAGGGAAAAAACTGGAAAGAACCCGTCAGCACCATGTGGGAGAAAGCCCAAGAAAATCCCACAGATGCCACAGCCCCAGAAACAACAGTGTGACGCCCCCTGCTGATAGCAGGAAGAATGCGTTTAACTTTTTTCTTTTTATCTTCATTTTCTCAACTTTTCCATTTTTTTAGAATGAGTAATTACTTCTGTAATAAGGGAAAAAGATGAAACGATTCTTTTTTGGACGTCCATAGGACCGTGTGTTACGATGGGAAAATCACCGGGGGCTGAGGGGGCAATGTGGGGACGCACAGCCCTCGGGTCACACCGGGTAACCGTGTGGCCGCAGAAACCCTCGCGCACGGCTGCTGGGCGCGCAGAACGGCGTGGCCACAGTGGCAAACAGTCGGCAGCTCTTCACATGATAAACAGACTTAGCTTGTAACACGGAGACTCCACTCCTAGGTATACACCCAAGTGACATAAAACCCGCATCCACACGCAGACCCGCACGCGAATGTTCTGGCAGTGCCAGTCAGAGCGCAAACACCAGGGAGAGAAGCCAGTCACAACGGGCAGCAGAGAGCGGATTCCATCTCTCGGAAATGTCCGGAAACGTCCAGAACAGAGACGGTGGCTGCCCTGGGGAAGGGGGTGGGGATGGAGAGGGGCTGCTAATGGGTGCAGGGCTTTTTGGGGAGTGATGAGAATACTGTGGAACCAGATGCTGGTGATGGTTGCACAACGTTGTGAATGCGTTAAAAATCACTAAATTGTACATGTTCAAAGCACGGGTTTCACGACATGCAAATTAGATCTCAACTAAAAAGTAAACACACTTTAAAAAATTGTATGGGGCCCTCTGATTACAAGGCCACAAACGCTGAAAATGAGGTAAGAGGAGAGCATCTCCCCACTCGCTAGATGAAACATTTCCCCGTTTGTGGACCACTTAATACAGCCGATTACATCTTCCAGGAAAACAAGGGGCGCCTGGCTGGCTCAGTTGGTTAAGCGTCTGCCTTCAGCTCAGGTCATGATCCCGGGGTC